AAATTGGAAAGATGAGACCCCCCATTGGGAGTCATAGTCAGATTCATGGCGGGAGTCTCTCCGAGAAACATATCGTCTATACCAGTATGATAGTGGCACTGTCTCCTTGGGCTATCTTGAATGTCCCATGGCTACCCCATTCCTCATTCCAGGAGTTCATGACCAACCAGTAGTCTACATCTTTCTCGGTGCTCCAACCGATGATCTCAACAGCAAGTCCACCGAGGTAGTTACCAGTGGTCGGTACCACTGGTAGTGAGACACTGAGAGTGCTCGGGTCACCAGTTACCTCGGTGATTCTGACGGATTTAATCGGTCAAAAATACATCTGTGACGTCGATGTCCACTGCGAGTGTCCACTCCGGATGAGAATCTCATGATGAGATCACCACTCGTGTCTACTCCGACCATTCATCGATCAAGAAGTTCTTGATCGATTCTTGACAAGAACCTGATTTGGCTACTGATCAGGATGATGTCGAATTGATCCCGGATTGATCCCGAGACTCGGGCCATTCCGATTCAATCGGAATGGATCGGGTCACTATCAAACCGTACCTTTGGAATCTTGGAGTTAGCATCCAAAAGGTTGTGTGATGTTGCGTTGTGCTCTATCTATGAGTCACCAGGTGGCTGTCTTGGTCAGTCAGCCAGCGCGAAGGACGACTAATTACCTATCTCTCTCGAGAATAATATAGCATCTGCGTCTCGCAGCCTGTTCATTTATCCGCGTGAGCGCCGTAGATTACGTGTCAAGGCTGACGAACATCGATATCACTAATATTCTATCAGAATCTCGCTTTCTCGCTTGAGGTGCGTCTGGCACTTCATCATGGGTGGCGTTTCGCTGCCTGTGCAGTTCGGTTACTGGCAGACTCTGCCAGGCAGAAATTTTTGGTTCTCCAGGGATTTTCCTGATCGGATATCGTATACATTGATGATGAGCTTCGCGTTGTATCGCTATATCGATATGCTGAATGCGTCATAGTTTGCCCGCTATTATGGTCCGTACTCGACGTAGACGTTTTCGGGGAGCTGAAAGCTTCAAGTCAGTAAGTTACATCGGGTTTGCCCTCGAATTACACCAGTGATAGTTGCAGGGGGTAATTTGAACAGAACTCAGGTGCAATTTGCACCTGAAGGTTCGCCCGACCATCGGATGGTCACCAATGGTGACTCACCATCCTCCCGAAGGTTCGTACCACGAACTTCGTGAGCAGATCTTCGGCTTACTGCGGTCAGGTAGGATGACATCGGCCTCCTTGGTCGGGATTTCGGATCGTCTCATTCTCATCACAGCCTGCGATTCACAGGTGTTGCGCGGCGCAACTTGCGCCCTACTTGAAAAGCATCCTGCAACTCTTCAGAAGAGCCTCATTCACCTCGCCATGGCATGGTGTGATGGATTGGCGGCCTTGCGTGATTGAACTTTACAACCGTTGAACATTAATCAAGATTCTGTCCCCTTTCAAGTGCTTCGGCTCTGGTGGGCACTCCTAGACGCTATCTAGTAGGTAGTGAGAACTTGCGCACATCCACACCAGCAAACTACGGCCCAACTAAAGCGACCAGGACATTTGCTCGGACACTTGAGCTTTTGGTCCCAAAAGCTGAATAGGAGATAGCAAATTTCTCATTCGTATAACTAAAAGCGTAGGGACATCTATAAGATACAGTAGCTACGATACCACTCT